TTTCTGCCTTCCAGTATTTGAAGGAAGCCTATAAGCAGGAGGACCAACTTCTTACATGGTCTGGCAGTGATAGGACAGGGGGGAATGGTTTTGAACTAAAAGAGATTTAAATTAGATGTTAGGAAGAATTTTTTAACTCAGAGGGTGGTGAGGCCCTGAAACAGGCTGCTCAGAGAAGCTGTGGATGCCTCATCTCTGGAGGCATTCAAGGCCAGGCTGGGTGGGGCCCTGGGCAGCCTGTTTTGATGGGTGGCAGTCTTGTCCATGGCAGTGAAGCTGGAACAGGATGACCTTTAAGGTCCTTTCCAACCTAAGCCGTCTCATGATAATATAGTTCTCCTCTTCCTTGCTTTGACTAGGTGAGAAGATACCTGGCAAGTATGTGGCTTTGGGATCTGTGTGTAGTGATGGACTGCCTGGAAGGAGTACCAGGCAGTTCTCTGGTGAACAGCTTGTCGCATCACTGATTTACTCATCTCTTCAATGTCACAAAGCTTACAGGAACCTAAATCCTGGAGGTGTCTCTCTTAAATTTTTGGACCGGCATCTTCAAAAGCTGTGTGGGTGACAAACTACTGATGTACACCCACATGAACTCACGATGTGCTCACAATAAGTGACATAAGTGTTGTATATACAGACAGTAATCATATATTTTTGGCATAAAAGCAAGTCCACCTCTCTAATTTCATTACCAATCAGGTTTGGTCATTTTGCCTTCTTCATAATCTGTGAAAAATCTCTTGATCTTTTCTGAGCTTCACTGTGGTGGATATTTACAGGGTAATTGTAGTTGGAGTTCTGGGTCCAGGCAGTGTAGTCCTCTGGAGAAGACCCTAAGCATCATGTCTGTATGCATCATGTCCTGATGGTCCAGCCAAAGCCTATTTCCCAGGCATGTACCCCATGTGTGGGCACTCTAAAGTCCATGGCACAGTATCTATGCCTGTTTGTCTTTGTTCCCCGCTTGGCTTGGCATGTGAAATTCCTGTTTGTGAGGGAGGTAGGGGAAACAGGAAAAACATAGTACTATTTCATGAATAAAAGGGTATTTACAAAACAACGGCGTTTGTTACAGCTGCTTGCAGACTTCATACCAGACAGCAATGCCAGCATTCCTGAGAATCAGCAGGCAGAAAGAGTATTCACAGGCACAGCCAGCTAATGAATGTCTTCACTGATGGTAATTCTTATGGACAAGCATTCAGGTAAAATATTATTTAGGGTATGAAATCAGTGGTCCTTTGTAAGAATTCCAGAGTTACTAGGGAAGGGAAGTAAAGTAATTTCCTACCTTTCATTATGTGATGCTTAATAAAGCACAGAGGAATCATATTCTCTCAGTTAGATCATTTTTGCATATATTGCTGCAATAACCCAAACCAGTCTGCTGTCTTGCAGCTATTGCTGATTGTGCTTCTTCAGCTGATAGATTCTGCTTTTCTTGTAGTTTTCACTGCAATCTACCCAAGTTTCATATTATTTTCCTCCAGATTTGCACCAATGACTCTATGCTTTTACCTTCACTAGAGCTTTTTTTCTTTAGGATATTCCTCTGGTGTCCCCCAGTTCCCTCAGACTTCTGTCCTTAGTTTTAAAACCTTCTTACTTTAGTCCTTCCTTCATACTTGTACTCTTTTTTGCTTCACTCTGCCCCCCCATCTCTGCACCAAATTTATCATAGCCTCAACCACCTGTTGGACCATAGTCACCTCTCTTTACAGTTCCTTCTGTTTATGGTGGGTTCTCTTTTCAGTTTTGATAGAGCTGTTTCCTTGCCTCCTTTTTTTTTCTTCTTTTTTTCCTCGGCTCTGTGCTACAGCTTACACCAACTTCTTGTGCCCCATTTCAGATGGTTTAGGACTGCTATGGAACTGTCCTTCACTCTTAACATTACCAAAGACAATGGCTCCCTGGGGTCTCCAAGTAGTGCAAATACATATGTAAAATTCATCACCCAGCTAGGGCACATTCTTGATGTCCAATCCTAGCAATTTCCTTGCTCTTAGTGCACAGGTTTTTAAAATAATGTGTTCGAGAAAGATACTGTAGTCACATAGCAACCAGAACTGGCTTTTGGAAGCAAAAATCTTGGGTTTGTTTTGTAATTTTGCTTTTTAGAACCTTAAAATTAACATTTGTGTGCTCAGGATGTTGATGAAGTGTTTATAGGGATGGAGAGCAAAGATGATCTGTTGTCTGTTGTTCACTTACACACACGTGCTCTCCTCAGCTAGCGATGGGACAGTGTATTTTCTCATCCTCTTCTTTTGCACCTGATTTCCAGGTGAGCTGTTGAACTCCCCCTAAGGTCAGTGGGAACTTTGATGCTCAAAAACCTGATAAATCTGTTCCTGTGCTCGGACGCATAACCAGCTGTGAGAAGTTCCACTGCCCATTAGTCCCCTGCCAGAGCTTCCAGCCTCATCCTTGGCAAATTCTGCAATGCAGCTCCGAGTGATCAATGCAAAACTCTTTGGCATGTGAAAACCAAAAGCATGGGGCCAGCAGAAAATAAATTGAATTGCAAAAGAAAAGAGCGCAGGCAATTCTCCTGATTGCATGATTCAGCTTCACATTTATTTAATTAAAACCCAGCATTTTCTAATTAAAACGCAGCCCCTGCAGAATTTCCTGCTGGGAAAAATCTGGAGGGCAACGAGTAGTGCTCCCTGTAGTGACCGCAGCGGGGTCCCTGGGCCAGGGGGTGTCCCTTTGCCATCTGAGGGGGCACTGCCCGGGGTCCCTTTGCCCGAGGCCCCAGCCCTAGGGGGGCAAGGGCTGCTAGCGAGGCAGCGCACTGCCCTCTAATGCTGCTTGCTGGTAGTGGAGTGGCGATGGTGCGGGGACTGCTAGAAGGTGCCTCGAAACTCCTTCTTTAGTAGCCCTGCTGTATCCTGGGGGGGTGTTTTTTGGGGCCAGGGCAGTGATAGAGGGTTGATGTCCCGGCCCCATGCCTTTGGTATTTTGCAGGAGAGCTTTATGCAGGGTTTCTGTGATGGCTACTGTACCCAGGTGACTGGTACTTTGGCTTTTGGAGGCAAAGCTCTCCTAAAGTGTGCTGTGCTTCCGGCCAGAAATGCTGCATAGGTCTTTCTTTTAGCTGAGACTTTGCTTAGGTGAAAAGCAGAGACACTCTGCCCTTTGCCAGCACTGCCCTTTTGTCTTTCCCTGGGCTTTGGAGAGACACGTCTGAACCACATGCTGCAGCTATGTTAGAGCTGCCCAGAATCCACATACCATCGGGGATCTCGAGGGGATCCTCTGCTCAAACCTGCATCTGAAGAGAAGAGTGAGAGTTGCTTGTTCTGCATCCTGGAAATGAATGCCTGGAGGTGGATCAACCTCAGCGTGGCCATGGTGATGGTAGGCAGCTGTGGAATTAGGTGCATAGGGCATCTCCTGCATAGGGCAACCTCTCTGTTCCCCATTACAGAGGCTGGTGTGGGGTGGAAAGCTGCTGCCCGATAATGGAGTTCGCTGTTTTCCTGACCCGAGGGCAGTTGAGTAGGAAGCTTGGCTGGGAATGGCTTATCATAAGACTGTCATCAGTTGGTTTAAGTCAATACCAATTACAAGGTTATTAATTAAAAAAAATGTGACTGGTGTGAATAATGATCGTAACCCTTTATGTTCCAGGCAGCTGAAACTGCATTCAGCCAGCGTGGGCTAGAGCTGCCTGCGTACACCGATGGGTAGAGGCTGTGCTCCCCTTCAAGTGCCTTTTATGTGTTGTAACAACATCTTTTGAAGTGTTAGGGCTAATTTTTCTTCAGACTTGGCATTCTCCTGCCTCCAGGAATATTCTCTGACTTGAGATTCCCAATTCATTCATCTTCTGCTGTCTGAGAAAACATTAAAAGCCTCTTAAATGCAGCCCATCATGAAAGGGTGGGTGTTCAGTCAGGCATAAAAATCTGCCTGATGTCATCTCTCGTTCCCAAGAAAGTTTTCTGGTGCTCTGCTAAATATTCCCATGTTTTTATCTGTGGGAACGAGATACTGGAGTAGTCACCCTCCTTTGCTGGCACCAAGATAAGAGCTTTGGTGCTAATGTTAGCACGTGATACTTGTCTCTAGAGTCAGTCTCCTGTCTGGATGGCTGCTGCAACCCTAAGGAAAGTGCTTAGGGCTGGCTGGACTGTAGGGTGGGAGCATTACTTGGACAGTTCCTTTGTTAGAACCACACCACAGATGGGTGACCTGGTGACCTGGTGGATCCATTTTCATACCCTCTGAAGGGCACAGAGAGGTGGAGGGAGATGGTGAAAAGATACGTGGGCGCAAGTAGCATCACTTTCATCTGGAGGTGCCCTATTCCTGTTCTGCACCCCACGCACAGGAGCAATGAGCTGCCTGCCAATTATGGTTCAGCAGCCAAACACGACCAGCTTGCAATGAGAGTACTCCAGCATCCAACCTTTCCCCAGCCCTGTCTCCTATACTCTAAGATAAACTGGGCAACCCTAGGGTGCTGTTTGGCCCAGGAAAAGCACAATCCCTACCTCACTGGTACACAACTTGCTGTGTTCAGGGGCATGAATCCTCCTTGGGGATGCACGTAAGCCCAGCTCCATCACCGCTGGGCAAGACAGATGTGGATCCACGTGCATCAGTGACGCAGGCAAACTGGATTTGGCCAGCTGCCGGGGCTTTGACTGCTCATTTTGGGGGAGGGAGGGCAAAAGATGGGAAAACCTGCCTTCTCCCTGCTGCTGGTGTGGAGGAGCCGGGACAGGGCTGCTGCTTTGCCAGGAGATCTGTCTCTTGTTGGTAGCAGAAATATAAGAATGCAGGGCCAGTGCCTGGGAGCCCTCCTGGAGCTCTTTGTCCTTTTGCTGCATTTGTCAGATCCGTGGAAGCATGCATGTGTTGCTTTGTTTCTCCACCCTGTGTTTTTTAGTAATAATCCCCTCCAAGGTTACAGAGATATCGTTTGTCAGGGAAGCCAACAGAGCTCTTTCTTACTATGGGATTACATAAGAGAACACAGGCTTTATTACCATTTTAGGACGTATTAGCATTGTGGATTATTTCCATAGAGACTGAGCACAGAGGCAGCCTTCACTTCAGGTTCCCTCATCTTTCCTCCCCCACACCTCTTACTGTTTAAAAATAATATTCATTAGCAAGCAAACAAGCAGGAAGCATCCTGTGAAGCCTGGCCCATGATCAACGGTGTATGTGGAGGGCTGGCATAAGAGCCAAGAGCACATCACAAGCCTGCGGGTGGAAGGAGGGATTCCTAAAAGATGATGCAGAATGGCAGAAAAGCAGATAAGCCTTCTTTATTCCATCATGTGCCATTTGTGAGAGCAGGGAGAGCCATCGCCTTGGCCGTTCATTACTTGGGAGAGCCACTGTGTTGGCTGTTCACTGCTTGTAGGATCACATGACGAGCCAGGTCAAGGCTCTGTCTCTCCATTTAACAGTTTATGGAAAGGGTGACTTGGTCATACTGTGGTGTCTTGCTGGCTGGGGTTGCTCATGAGTGCATAATTTACTCACAGCATCTTTTCTGTGATAAAGGACAACTCTGAAATGGCTTTCTTCAGCTGGCTGTGCATCTTGGTGCCAGTAGTGTAGGGAAGGATTGTGGAGCATCACTGTAAATAAGTAAAATTGCACATTCCTCACTTGGAAAAGGATCTTATTGGATGTATAAGTCCTGCATTTATTACATGGGCTGTAACTGGGTTGTAGTGGAATATTTTCCGTGAATGGACTAGCAGGGAATATTTTAGGTTTTTCCCCTTTCCATCAAAGCTTGCAGAGAGTAGAGATGCTCTCACAGCATTTTCAGGGCACGGCATGGGAAATTTCTGAGGCTGATCCCCATTCTCCCATCAGGATCTGAGCTCCAATCAGTGCTGTCAGCTGGGAGAGAATTCTGTGTTTCACCTTTTGCCTGGCTTTTTAGAGCTCATAAGTCATCTAATTAGTGTTTCTTCTCCTGACGCAGCTCATATGTTACCTATAACATGCAAATTGTACTAGATCTAGAGTAACTCCCTGCTTAGGGAACACCTGCAATGTTTTTCTCTGCCATCATATGTCACAGCTATCCCCGAGGGCCAGTCTTACAAGAGAGCAATCAGACAGCTAACTGCATCCAAGAAAGAGCCTGCTGCTCTGCTCCTTGAGCGCTTCTGTTTGGGAGCAGGTGTACTCCAGGAGCAAAACCAGCCTCTGCTTAAGAGACATTTCCTACAAGAAGAGCAAGAGCTGGCCAAAAAGTCACTGAAGATCAGTCATTCATGAGTAACTCGTTTCAGAGAGACAGAGAGCTCGTGACAGCTGGATGTGTGATGGAAAAGGATTATGCAGTTCTGTAATGGCTATGGGGTAGAATTATGCTGAGTACTTGTGCACCTGGGAAGTCACAAAACAAGCAGCTCTAAGAAATCCAGTTTCACGTAGTCTGTTGCTTAGGAAATGTTCTATTCCTCTTTGAAAGAATAAGTTTAGCCAGAACACTGAGGAAGTAGCAGTCCTGTTGTGGCCATGACAATTGCTTTACTTTTGTGATTTACCAGCACAGTGCGTGACCATTGACAGCATATTTACCTGGGATGTTAAGCTGAAATCCTTGGAGCTTTAACTGTAGGCTGGCTGCATCTCAGTTTTGGCTTCTTTGCTGCTGTTTGAAAAAATCAGATATATATTCATTACCCATGAAGGAAATAGACTCTCTGCTGCTCTAGACAAGTAGGTACAAGAGAGAAAAAAGAAAAACCTCCAACAAAACAGTGATGCTCTCATCTTTCTGACCTGCCAGGATTTATCATTTTTGTGTTCTTTCCCATGACATCCTCACACTACCTTGTTCCCAAAAGGCTCCAAAGTCTTCAAAGCCCCTGAGAAATGCAAGCTGCTGGTTAATGTCTTGTGGCTATATAGGTAATGGAAGATTTACTTACATGTATGAAGATTTCGACCTGCTCCATAGGGCTTACAGTGCACGCGTTTTTTCCTGGTAATAGCACTAGCATCCCTCCTCTACAATATCTTGGTCAGATTTGGGATAATTATGAATGGACAGCAGTTCAACTGATGGCTGAAAATCTGTAGGCCTATGCAAGCAGCGGGGCTGGCTTTAATTCTCATGTAAATACACACATTTGTTCTTCTAGGAGCCTCGGGGAAGGGCATGCATTGAACACTAGGCCGTCTGTGGCAATGGTTAGTATCTGTTAATCATAGCTACTGTGTGAGCAAGGTAGCAGAGCAATGCAGTGGAGAAGGACCTTCATTTTGCCACATCAATTCCAGCAGTGTTCTTACCTCAGACCTGCCACTTATATGGCACAAATCCATTTTCCCTGATAGTTACCTTTTCTGCATATTGCATCTGCAAAAATACAGGGAGATAATCAGGCACCATTTCACTTTCCTGTGGACCTCAACCCCCCATGTGCTGGTTTCTGACTGCAGACTTTAGAGCACCTGCTGCTACTGGCGATGCAGGAAGACATCCACCTACAATCTTACTGCCTTGTGTCTTGCCTGTAGCCCCTGTGAGCTTCAGTACAGTGGGAACCCTGAAAAATGATGTTCAGCGATGGAGGGTGACTACTTGAGGTAGCACCATTTACTGCTGTTGGAGCCTACTTCATTCAGGAGCACTGTGCACACAAGCTGCTGCCTTTGGAGCCAAAGGTATAATTTAATCTTTGCTTCTCTGCTTCTCTACTTGAGAAATCTTTCGCCAAGGTGTGCATGAAGGCTTAGGATGCATCAGATCTGTTCCACAGTTATCTGTTTCCTGTATGGAAATCACAGCGTAGTGCTGATGCATCCAAGCTACAAGCAGCTTTATTCAGCATGGGGACAAAATTTTTTTTTTATGAGATGCTACAGGGCTAATGAAGGTCTACAAAGGCTATGGTAATAGCCAATTTTCTTTTTTTCTGCACTCACAGAACTTGCTGAGAGGTGCCCAAAAACAAGCCTGCAGGTATTGTGTTGGTGTGATCCCTGTGTGGCTCATGAAATTTCACGAACCCTGGGAGAAATCTTATTTAACACAGATTTCCTGATCTACTTTGGCTGTGTGGTCCTGCCCTCAGGAGACCTCCCAGGGACCCTTACAGCCAGATGTAGAGCAGTTTTGCACATCTGCTTTAAAGAACTGAGGTTGTAATACCAAACCCCTCACGTCTGAATTGTACTGGGACTGTAAAGATGTTCATTAAAGAAATGTCTTTGTTTGAGTCTTGTCCTTACTTAGTGTAGGATTTGAGCTGTATATTTATCATACCTCTAAGAGCTGCTTTCATTTCATAGATGTTTGTGCTTCAGTCTGTAAAATGAAGATAATTATTCACCAGTGAGCAAATTATATGTTTTTTGGTGGCCTATGTTTCCCTCTGCATGGGCTTGCCTTATGTTGGGATCCTATGAACTGTATCTGTGCTTGGTGCCCCGAGAAGGCAGTGTGACTGCTCTTCCAAGTGACTTCTAGAATTACAAATATTGGTTGGAGCTCAGAAAGGAGGATCCAGAGCCTTCAGACTCAGAAAATCATCCTTGTCAGAGAGCTTTCCTCTCTTGCCTGCCAAACTGACACCAACATGGAACCTAGTTTGTCTTGCAGCAAGAAGAAAAATACCCTTTTACTTATAAATTTAGCACATTTAATGGGGAACAGTGCAGGAGGAGTCATTATTAATAATTATTTGCATAACAATAGTTCTTCTTCCACAGATCTCACAAAGCTGGGCAAACATGAATTAATTCAACCTTAAACTACCCACATGGGAGGACGCAAAGTATCATTATCCACATGAGCAGTTTCTCTGCATGATTTTACTAATTACAGTATAGCACTTAGGTGTTGTTACATGTGCTGTATAAGGCGGTAAATAACATTTTACAGGAAGGAAAAAAGACTCTTTCTTATCCCTTCAGACTCTCTCCAGCACTTGCACTGTACTGACAATGAGGCTGGGGAGACCTCATTGCGGCCTTCCAGTACTTGAAGGGACCTTACAAGCAGGAGAGGGACTGTCTTTTTACAAAGTCTGATAGTGATAGGAAAAGGGGGAATGGCTTTTCACTAAAAGAGGGTAGATTTAGGTTACGTGTTAGGAAGAAATTTTTTACTCAGAGAGTAGTGAAGCACTGGCACAAACTGCGCAGAGAGATTGTAACGCCTCTCTGGAGGCATTCAAGGCCAGGTTGGATGAGGCCCTGGGCAGCCTGATTTGGTAGCTGGCAACCTTGCCTATAGCAGGAGGGTTGAAACTAGATGATCTTTAAGGTCTCCTCCAACCTAAGCCATTCTATGACTCTATGACTTCAACAATGGAGAGCATTATTCCAGCAGGAGGAGGAAATGTACTGTTGACTGGCAGCACAACCAGAGCTATCCATAGGGGAAATGCCTTGCCTAAATCCCCCGAAAAATGGCCTGCTGAAGAACTGCATCTAGGTAAAAATTCAAGTTGTGCGCTGTCCACTAGTTCATAGAATCATGGAATCATAGAAACATTAAGGTTGGAAAATACCTCTTGAGATCATGAAGTCCAACTATCAACCCACCCCGTCATGCCCACTAGACCATGTCCCTCAGTGCCACATTTACATGTTTCTTGAACACCTCCAGGAGTGGTGACTCCACCATTTCCCCAGGCAGTCAGTGCCTCACCACTCTTGCTGAGAAGATTTTTTTCCTAATATCCAACCTGAACCTCCCCTGATACAACTTGAGTCCATCTCCTCTCATCCTGTTGCTGTTACCTGCAAGAAGACGCCAACCCCCACCTGACTACAACGCCCCCGAGCCTCCTCTTCTCCAGACTAAACAATCCCAATTCCCTCAGCTGCTCTATCCAGAGCAGTTTTCACCTTTCTCAGTTGCATACAGGAATCTCGTTCCTGATTCTAGCACAGCAGCATAACACAACCTTCCCAAAAAAGCAGGATCTCAATTATAAGTCTGCTAAGAGAGACCTCAATTGCTTGGTCCTTAAGCTCTATTTAGGAGAGCTCATGCCTCAGGTCACCTCTGAGGACCCCACATCCAGGCACCTCCAGCAAGGCCTTTGCAATCCTTTTCCCCTGCTAAACCCATGGAAACAAGCTGGCTCTAGGTCTTCCTGAGGACAGCCCAGCGACCGGGCAAGGCGGTGTCTGAAATAAATATAGTTTTAGAGGAGAGTTCATTTCCCCTGAATTAATGCAGCCTGACATGGAGTGCAGGAGCATGTGCCATCTGGTCGGATCTGCCTTGGTTTTGTGAACAAGGGGGAGGGTAACCGATACTTTCATGAACTGCGGTTGCTGTACAGGAGAAAACAGGAATCCCCTGGGTACCAGAAATGCGAGATGCTAATCTGAAATTAAAATGGGTAAATGCACACAGGCCCAGTAAGGTCAAGAAGGTCGAAACCTTATTCTCTAAGGAGATGAACCTTTCTGTCTTGAGAAGCCCTGGGCACAGCCATGCAGTCCATCAGTTTAATAGGAGGCAGTGGGGTAGCATGCTGCTCTTTTATTTCTGAGCCAAGCTTGTTCTCTGTAGAGTGTAATGTAATTTTCTTCTTTCATCCCATAACTTATTTGTGTCCTTTGCAGAGAGTTCACTTCTACATTACATTTCCATGCCCCCTACCCAACCTTGGGTCCTGTGGTGCCATTTCCTTCTGATATAAACAGGCCTGGAGGGTTTCCCTCTTCCTCTGCTAGTGAGCATGCAGTTATTTCCACTCTCTCGTACAGTCCTGCCGAGCATGTAATGAAATGGCCAAATTCCGGCAGTTCTCTTTGGGAGGGAGCTGGAAACCATTCAGTAGCATGTCACAATGTGAACTGTAATAGTGGGGGACCTGGAGGAGATCCTCATCCATTTCCTTGTGCTGCCTATGAGAGTAGAGTTTGGCCGTGGCTTTGGGACAGGACAGGTTCTGAATTTAGCAGATAATGCCTGAGTAACACAGAGGCATTTGCATGACAGAGAAAGAAAGAGTTTGCCGTGTCTTCCAGACAAAATTACTCCCTGGATGAGTGCCTTGTGGATTTTCAGCCATTGTCCAATCATACAAAATAGCAGTGAGGGTTCTGAAACTTCTGTGCAGGTCAGCCAAGGCATTTCCTGAACTTTGCTGCCGTTACATCTTCCCTTGCCATTGTGGGATGATCCCCTCGATAGGCAGTGGTCACTCACACCAAGCTGGCATTCATCACTTGGTGTAGAGGTGTGCAGTGATTCACAGGGGTATGAGGACTTGAGGAAGATCTAAAACTGGGAGGCATGTGTTCTGCGCAGTCATTTCAATATGCACCTTTTCTGAACAAGGAGGCTACTCAGAAAGAGGATGTTTCCCTGTTGTGTTCATTTCTTTTTTCTTAATGCAAAGCAAGAGCATTATGTTCCTCCTGTTCTTGGATTTAGTCAATCTTGCCCTGCTTTTTAGGGGAAGGCACATTACAATATTTAACTGAAAGATGCTATAAGGAAGAAGGAAGATTTATCTGGGCTCCAAAACTCAGATAAAGGGTAAAGGTTTAGGTTTAATTCATGAGTTTAATTTATGGCAGGGAGATTTTGGCTCAAAGATTCCATCATTTTTATGAGCACTGAGCTCTGATCATCTGTGCAAGGGGCACATTTCTGCAAAGATCCTGCATATACTCCCGTCTGCTCCCACCTCTCAGCCTTTTCTTTGGGAAAGGAAATAATATACCTCAAATCAGGGAAGTTTAAATACCTCTTTTGCCTCTTTTTTCTTTTACATTTTCATCTCTGTACCAGCATGCCCAATAAAATCATGCAAAGGTCTTTTATTTATGTTTGGCTAGGAGCTGACCAGATGCCCCAGCCTGTGAAATAATCACCATCTGTTGATTGTAATTGCAAGGCAAAAGCCAAAAGCCTGGAAGGTTTTTTCAATGTTGTATTCAAAGAACTGCAGCTTGACTTTTCTGAATAAAAACTGAAGCTCCTGCTTTTGGTCAGATTTTTTTTTTTTTTCTTCTTTTTTTAATGTCTCCCCATGTGCTGAATGCCTATGAATAGCTTTGCTACCCATTCCCTCCTTATCAGGAGCAATTTGGCTTGGCACTTCCTTGTTCTCTGTGGCTGTTAGAGAAGGTGGCCCTGAGGCTGAGCCGAGGCATGTTGCCTCCTGCCTTTGGAGCTCAGCACTTCAGTGGGGACCACGCTTGTCCTGCAACACCAAGAGTTTCTTCTCTCCCTCTTTTTCTCTCTGACATCTTATCATTCTCCTGTCAGTCACAGATATCTCCAAGGGAGAAGGACAATGGTGAATACTGCAGGTGCTGTGAGAATCAATAATTCATTTAATCATAAATTAATAAATGATGATACTGCTTGGGGAGAAGGGGAGGAAAAGAAAGAACATTAATAAAGTGATTTCCAGATCAATTCCATGACTCTGAGTGACTGAAGAAAGGCTCCAAAGGGCCTGAACTTGATAACAGCCAAGGTCTGCAGGATTCCACCGCTGCTGTACCTGCCTCTTCTTGAGTTTAATTCAGTGACCTGGCTATTATCTGCCCCATCTCCTGTGATACCTGGAGGGCTGCAGAACCTCAGCGTTCACAGAACTTTGACCAAAATGCCTATGGGTGGGGCAAGTGAGCTACAGAGGCATCTTTATTGCTAGATAGAAGCATTGCAGGGCTTGAAGTGCTTCTGTCAGGCTCTGAGAGGAAAGCTGGTCTTCTGACCTGTTGGTGCAACAGCTGAGCTTGCTTCTCACGGGGTGCAGCTGAATACTGCAACCACTGGGTGACCTGGGAATGCTGCTGCATCTGGCCCTGCCCAAAACACATCGTGGGTAATGCACATGCATCCCATCTGCTGAAGACTGCGGCATATGAAGGCAGGGCAAGCCAGGATTTAGCCATCAGAAAATGAGGAATGAGTATCATAAGAATATTAAGTGTATTAACCTCCAAGAGACACCTCTCAGGCCAGCTATGCCTATTTATTTCCATAAGTGGACAAAGACACAGAATGCCCATAATGCAGCCATCCTTCCTCTGGACTAATGGATGGCCAAATTTCTCAAATGAGTTGCCATCCAGCAGCAGTGCTTTTAGGTCCTTATCTCTCCGGTGTGCTCTGTCCTCCCCTGCACATATAGCAACCTTTTGCAATAGCTTAGATGAAGGGGGTTGGATTTGTTTCTGAAAATATGTAGGACACCAAGCATGTCTTTCCATGGATTTAATGCTCTGTGGGACTATCTGGAGTTCATTTTCCTCATTCTCTAGGAGATGAGGTCAGGTCTGTTTGTGCAGCATGGCACTTAAAAGAATTTGGAAGCTGTGCCCCTCTCACAGCTCTGCATAAAGTTGGCATCTGGATGCATGACCTCCCTAAGGACATGAGGTCTTTATTATGGATTTATATGTCACTGTATTAATAATGGTAATGAGTAGTGGTTTTAGAGCCTTAGTATCTCTTATGTAACCATATATGTTGCCAAGAGGCAGGAGGTGAGCCAGAGCTGCTGGAACACCCAACAGGGCTCTTTGCATCAGCAGGGATTGAATTGTGCCAGCGCCCACATAATGGGCAAAGCCTCTGCTTTTCCTAAAAGGAAAGGAAAAGTCTCTGCAACCAAAAACACCACTGGCACTTGGGAGCTGAAATCTCAGGAGATGAAGGACTGGGAGAGATGAAAAGGGTCTCCTAAATGCTCTCTCTCAGTGTGCCCACAATATCCATTTTCTGTGGCCCTTCTTCCCTATTTCTGATTTGCACTGATGTAAAAGCAGAACCAGGTCAGCTTATTTCCTGATAGAAGGTCTATTCTTTTTCTTTTCATTTCCTGTTTAATGTCAGAACTTGCAGTTACTACCTCCTCCCACTCTGCAGTATTCACATGCATCAAGTATATCATATAGTTTACTTCCTTGGAGTTGTTCCTTACTCAGCTGTACACTTTTAACCCTTTTTGGCCTTCAGCATAAATTCCTCTGGGTCTGATTATCAGTCACTTCTGATTTCTTTTTTTTCCTAGTTTGCTGCTCTTTTATTGCCGATGAGGAAAGACTGACGGGATGAATAAAATTGAAACCTTGGGCAAGTTGCAACGAAATGGTGCTGAAACTGTTTCCTCTCTCCCTTTGCTATAATGGGATGCCCCTCTATTCACCACCCCAAACTGCAAAAGCCTGTTTTGCTAATACAGCACATCAAGATTTTTTATTTGCTATATTCTCTGTCCTCTAATCTCAGTACAAAATAGCTTCCATGCTTTCTCCCTCCTGCTGAGTATCCATCTTTTGGATCATTGCTCTCCAGAGACATTGCCTGCATTTTTCTGTTTCGTTTGTGTCTAGATTCAGTCAAGTCCAACTCATAATACTTTTCTGCTTTAAGTCTGAGACCATTGCCCACACATGCTTAATTTTAAGGAGCTCTGTGTTTGAGAGCCTGTTTCTTCTGTTACATTTGCAGTTTCTCTGTAGGGCATCAACTGCCAATGCAATAGACTGTTAGTGTTGGCTCCCTGGTACTCTGGTTTAAAAAGACCAACACGGATGCTGCCCCTTTGCACGTCATTTGTCACCACTTAGTCCAACTGAGCACCTTTTGTTTTGGTACCTCTGGCCAGTGGGCTCCTGGATTTGGTCAAATGAATGCCGTGAGGTTTCCATGTATGTGTTGCATGTGGTGTAATTCTTTAGATTCTTAACGACTCTTCATATTTCGTTCTTTATTTCACTAGGGATAGACATTAAATTGGAATTAAACATTGCCAGCTCTATTCTTTATTGAAAATCCTTGTTATGCTTGCGTTTTTGTTGGTTTTGTGGAATCTCCCCAGCTCAATGGAAATTGTCGGATTTGTCACCAGGATAATATGTTTGTCAGTGGCTTGCCATAACAAATTAGGCTCCTGATTCTGCATACATTTGTGCATGTCCTCACATCTATAGATTGCTTAACATTCAACCCTGTAATAGTTCTGTGAAAGTGAAAAGACTGTTCAAAAAAATCTTTATCATTTCTGGATTAAGTTCTAGGATGTATTGTTCTTCAGATTCTTCTTGTTTCTTCTACTTGCTTTCCTCCCAAACCCTTTTCTAGTCACAGCTTCCCTTCTCATTCTTCTGGCTAAGGATAGTTCTTAAAAGGCTGCTCAGCCATTTCTGAACCATTAATTTCATCCTCATCCTCATTTATTAATGAACCTACTTTCTTTCTGGTGCTTCTTTTCCTCTGGATGAATTTGTAAATCCCTTCTTATTCCCTTCACTGCCTCAGGCAACATAAATTCATTTGCTTTTTTTCCCCTTGCCCTTATCTTTCCCTACAGCCTTAATTGACTCTGTATATTCTTGTTCAGTCACAATCTCCCCTTCCATTTGCAGCATGGAACTTTCCTTATAATTTTCTTAATGAAGAGGCATCAGTAGGAAAGCACTGTGCTGTACAATGCTGTGAGATCTGAAGTGTTTCATTTAAAAGTTGCATGAATTTATATTAGAAAGAGTCTCTGTGTGGCAAAGCCAGCATTTTAGTTCTAGCATGTCTCTGATTTCATTTTTAAAGCTCTCATTGTGACTTGAGCAGGACAAGATAGGCAGCTGAGCAAATGGTAAATCCTGTTCTTTCTGAGCTCTTTCATCCACTGTACTGTGTTAGATGCCCATTAGTAGTGCTGCTCTCCTTTCTTTGTAGGAAAGATTAAGAAAAAATTCTCATTTTGTGTGTAGTTCTTCTCAGCCAAAGAAGGTGGAGAGGTCTGTGAGTACTGCAACCACTTGTTGCTCATATGAAGGCAGAGTGCCAGGAGGAAACCTGGACTAACAAAATAAGCAGTCAGAATAGAAGCGAGAGGATAAGAGGGCTCTCTAGTCTCCTAGGCTCCCCTCTAAGATGTGTTGGCAATGCTGCTGTTCTTGAAGTGTCCCATGATCACTGTAGCTGGTGCTAGCAGAGATGTCAAACCTGCCCGTGAGAAGCAGGGCTGGAGAACAGGCCAGCAGAAGAGTTCCTTACAGGGTCCAGAAGCATAAACGTGGAGGCTATATTTGGCGGCTCAATAGAGAAGACCTATTCAGCCACGGCTGATCTTGTGACCTAGAAAGATGCCTAGATCTTGTGACCTACAAAGATGTGACTTAGAAAGTGACTCTACCACTGATCTGTCCTGTGATCCCAGAGAATTCTCTTCTGTTCAGTTTCCACATCCATAAAATGGGGACAGTGATATAGGGTTGTGAGAATTTTCCAACTAGTGACTGTGAAAGGCTCTGCCAAGTTGGGTTGAAAAAGCAATGTTTTTGTCTTGTAGGGAGTCAGTGTGAAGGTACTAGTGGAGCAGAGCAGAAGGCAGGCTATGTTCACTGGTTCACATAGCCTCTTTTGGAGATGCTCTCACCTTTTCCATCTCTCCTCCCCATATGGGTGCCATAGAAAGTAGCTACAGTTAAGAAAAGCATAACAAAATCACAAGCTTCCCCACACCTCTGGGACCAGAATATCTCCATACATCACCTCTTCGTCATCCCACATCACCCACATCTGTCCACACTTCCTGAAAACGGACAAGTCGGGAATTGTGCAAAGTCCTGAGGAGGCAGAAGAAAGCATGAACTGTGCTTAAAAATAAAGACCGTGGGTCTCAGAAGACACACACACCTCCCAGTTCAGCTTGGCTTAGGCACTATCTGCAGGCAGGGGGCCTGCCAGAGCTCTAGTCAATATGCTGAATGTTTGCTCAGAGGAAATGCCTTTTTGTTTACACGGGAGAGAGAGAGAAGCTTAGAGAAGAAACCTGGCACAGAGCAG